AAAAAACAACAACAACAAGAAGAACGCCAAGAACATGCAATATAAATGTGAATGATTTTGATGCCTGTAAATCTCTGCTTCTATTTTCTTCTATTTCTTAATACCGCTAAAAAAGACAACGAAATTTGAAAAAATAAAAGACATGGGAAAATCTTGCCAACGCCATGTAAGTTTAAAATAAAAATGTGAAACGGACCACTCTCTCTTGTACTTCATACTTCTCTTGCAGACGGTCACTATACCTTTTTTTCACTTCCTCACGAAAATTTAATTGAAAATGATAGTGGCCTGGTCATCTGCAATGACCATGAATAATTATCTTCTCCATACGAACTACAAGTCATTTCAAGTCTATTTGAAAAATAGATCTCAATTGGATTAGTAATTCTCATTCATGATAAAACTATTTCTGGAAGAGCTTCCGTCAATTATTATACCATACTCTTTATCATATTGTTAAATACAATCTGACTACATGCTCAACACTAATAGAAACTCTATATATATAGTATAATCAGGCAAATGGATGCTATATTTACCAATAGAGACCAGGCTTTGCCAACACAGACATAAAGAGTACCTTAACACTACAGGTTAAAGTTGAGTGAATAGTCCAATTTTTTCAGGAAACTGTTTTTTATCAGTCAAATATTAGCAAGATTTCACACATTAAGAGAAATGATGAACTATAGTGAAAGAAACATAGGTCAGACTTCAGAGTACTTCGGAAAAAAGAAAAAGAAAATTTGTGCATAAGTGACAGAAAGGAAATTTCAGAGATCAAGGAAGCAAAATTTCTAGACTGCATAGTAAGAAAAACCTAATACAGGATGAATGATGAATCCATTTCCAGCTATAAAAAAGAAAGAAAAAAAAAGCAAGATAACTTTTACTTTGAACAGCCGTTAGCAACACAGAAGCTGATACAACAAAACATTAACGAGTTGACCTGATAGGCAAATAACTCCTCCAACTCCAAGTATTATCACGGCAATAAAAGCTTCATCGAACAATTGAGTACCAAATAGGACAGGATGTGAAGAAGCATCACAGGAGATGTAATCTAGTCAACCTGTATTGCAGAAGTTTTCTTTGTTTCTTTTTGAAAAGGAAAAATCACTATTCTCACTCAGATTGCAAACTCAATCAGGCGGAACGAGACCGAGATCTTTCAATCCGAAAGCAAGAGAAAGACACGGAATAGTTTAGAACCAAGTTAACTGTACTTGAGCATTAACTCAAGTAAGCAGACCTCCGAAGTTAACCGACCTGCCGAATAACTAAAATTGTCATTAAAAAATTGGTCGAACTCCTACTTCAAACGGAATAAGAAGTCCAATCGCGGTAAAAATCTCCAGTTTAGACCAGGCTTATTTTAGCATATTCAAGATCACTGATCAAGATCACAACGGTTTCTTAATTAAAACGCGAAAACCACTAGGTTAACTAAAATAGAACGATATCTTTTCGAGGAAAGGTACTCTACTAGAGAAAAAAAGAGTATGGATCAATAAGCAAATGACCATCCGTATTCAGTATAAGAGATGGAACGCATTCATCAATCATACGAAAATGTTAACCGAAAAAATACAAAGCAAATGAACAGCGTAATTAAAACTCACGGCGATAATGAAGGCTGTGTCGCCGATGAGRCCGGAGATAAAAATGCTCCAAAGCTTCCCATGCTACGATTCTTGAAAGCATCAAAGCATCTGAATAGCGTAAAACTCACGGCGAAAGTAGTGGCGGCAGCGCCGATGAGACAAAAGATAAAAGTACTACTTAGATGAAAGCACCAATCTACCGGCMAAAACGCGGTACCATACGCCGATCACCACTGTCGTTCCTCATTTTTCTCTCGACGATGAGATTCTCACTCTAAAGAATGCTTCAGCGTTTGCTTCCCGCCTTCTTCAATTCTATATATAGTCGGGGAGGAGCTCTGGCAGATGGCGATTTGGGAAATGGAAATGAGTTCGCCGGGTGGCCGAGATCGGCTACGCTCGCTCACATGAATCTCATTACACTTGCATACGTGGCAATTACGAAAAACCCACGGCCACGAGAATGTCTCGCGTTATGGAGAGTAAATTTATCATGTATCATATACATGACTCATTCATGATCATGAGTGACTTTACGATGTGTCGAACTCAAAAAAGAAAAGAAGACTCTACGATATGTCGGCATACTGGTTCGTGTAACACTGTAAAATTAGAAATCATTTTTAAGCTAAAAATTATTGAAATTCAAGTATAGTTTTGTTTTGGATTGACTACAAAAAATAAAAAAATATAAAAAAAAGCTCAAAAATAAAATTAAATTTGATAACAAATTTACTTTAATTCTTCAATAACAATTACTTATTTCTATACTACTTTTCAACAGCATTTTAAAAGTTTATAACACCGAACAACTAATAAATAAGTAAATAAATATATATATAATCTCGGGTTGGCATTCTTTTTCTCATTTTATTCTTTCACTACTTGACTCAATTGCAAAATGCCAGTCTACAGAAACTCAAATGCAACTCTGCAAATGAATGAAAATTTGTGAAAGAAAGCGCCCTTACACAATTTGGACAAAAATTGTCCAAAAAGAGGCATGGTAAAAGGAATACAGCACCTAAACACTGCTCATTATCAAATTATGAACCTGATACACAATACATATCTAGACTGCATTACGTCTCAGTGCAAAAGTTTTGTATACAACCTACACTCATACACGGCCGGGCTCACCGATGTGGCTCGAATGATAAACACAAGGTCAGGATACATCTCATAATGTTGTATTTTCCTTCCATACATGATGACCAAATCTTCATGGAAGCAAATTTAGACATCCAAAACGATCTTAATTGTCCATGTTTAAGAAGTACCTTGGACTACAAAAGGGCTCTGTTCGTTTGGTCGATTTCTTTCCCTTGATCGATTTCTCCACAGCCACAAAACTTGCATTAACCCACCATTTGCAACATGCAAAGGAAATGCTTGTGCTTGCGTTGCAAAACCATAAGCAATTAGCTTGACAAGAACAAAAACGGAACCGAGAGCGAAAAGTTGCTTCTTGAAGCTTGATTCCTGTCGAACAATTAACTTTTAGTTTTATTACTTGTGGCATGAAGAAAAAGTATAGGAGCCAATTGCAAATGCAGAATGTACCTCAGAGTTGCCAAACACTTCTTGAGAAATCTCTTTTAGAAGGTCAGTCAGTAACACACCAACAAAGAGGCCAATGGGAATCAGTAACTCTTGGTTTCTAAATATGGAAGCTACAAAATCTGATAAAGAGCTAAAAACAAAGAACACGAGAAGAGACCACTTCGATGCCTCCTTCCCCATAAAAAGTAGCCTCTCCAGCAGCATCTTCTCTGCTTCCTTCCAAGGAAAAACTTTTACAGGTTCCGGTACSACCTCCTGCATCTTCTCTTTCAAATTTTCAATTTGCATAGGCATGGAATTAGAATCCATAAACTGCGACATTCTTGCTTTCGTCGAAGATGCAAGAGAGGCTTTACGMCTACTGTGCAGCAGGAAGCAGCTATTAAGCTGAAAGGAGTTGTACTTYAGCAATATAATCTGCAGAAATTGGCAAATAGAATCTCAAGCCTGGGTTTCATTGGATCAAAGGTCATAAACAAGAGGGAAACCCAYCTGAAAGCGAACAAAATATTAAAAATCCCCATCGGTTCATAATGTCACAAGTTTCCAAATACAACTTGGCAGCTTAACAAGAAAAACCTAAGAAACTAATAGCCAAATTTATAAAACTAATTATCTAATTAAAAACTTCACCAAATTAATGAACTAAATCAAAATAGAGTAACAATCTATACTACCCTAATTATATAATGTAACTAAAACTCCAAAAAAAAAGAAAAAAAAGAAAAGAACAAGTCGACCAAGTCCATTTCTCTAGAACTTCATCAACACATTCCCTTTAGGTTTCAGGCATGACGAAGGATTTGAAAGGTCTTGCTCGAGCATTCAATTAGAAATAGACTGCCAAGAATTCGAGAAGAGAAATCGACGAATTTACATATAATTGGCTGACTCGAGTCCCTGAAGAACTCTAACAAATTAAAGAAATACCTAAAAGAGATTAAGGCAAGTAGGCCAAAAAGACTAAGCAAATTATGGTGCTCAATCAGTTCATTTGAAAATACAGCATAAGAAAAGCGAGTCGATAATAAACGAGTTTTACCCCGGACTTGGGAGATAAGGAATGCAGCGGAATCGACGCCGGCAGCGCCATTGATGACCCTGGTTTCGCAGTTATCGTGTTCGTCTTCTACTCATTAATCTCTCCCTCTATCTAATGTAGGGTTGGGCGAGATTCTTCGATTCAGGATCCGAAACCCAGAGCCTCACCCCGTCATTTTTTTTTTCTATTTTTCTATTTTTACTTTTTCCTAATTGAAATGGGCTCACAACACACATGGGCTCCATCACTAATATTAGTGGGCCGGTCCAACAATAAAGTCCCATAAAAGGCTCCATAAAGCCCTTGAGAGAATCAATCATCTGTCCATGATTTTGTAGTGAATATTGTGCAACGTTTGGCATTGTCTACTTTATGGATGAAAACGGTCGTGGGCAGTAAAAAGAGTGATGTACTAGGAGCAGCCTAGAATGATACCATTATTGACCCTAAACAATGGTACTATGTTGGTGGGAGTTTTTTTTTTCTGTCTTGTCACCTACCTAATTTCACGTGTGGTAATTAATATTTAAATTATTGTACTCATTGATTGATATCCTTAGTTTTGTAATTGTCACGATATAAATGACTCATAATGAAGATCATATTTGAGAGAATTGTATTCCATACTTATAGTAACTAATTAATCAGTTGAATGAGATCTTCTAATTAACTTTGACATAGTAAAAGTACATAAATTTACCTTAGAGCTTAGCTTAATCAGAGTTTGTTAAAGGAGTTTACTTGGGTTATTCAAACCTTAATTGTTAATGCTRCTGTTTTTTATTTTTCATTTATGGTTCTATTTTTGTTTCTTGTTTTTTAATTTTTAATAAATAAAAATAAAAATATTTTTATTAAAAAATAAACAGTATAAATATATTTGGTAACCATTTTTT